GGTGCTGTGGAAACATTTTACTTAGTGTAAGACATTTTGGTTTTCATTTAAAACTGTTTACCCAAACGCCCCCAGTGCATACTGCTCGTATTGCCTGAATACACCCGGAGCTGAGTGCATGTGAAATGCGAAGTAGGTTTGCATATATCAGACGGTGGTCAAATATACACTGGCCCATTTCGTGCTTATTTGTTCTATATGTCTGTTGAGCCATTCGTTTTTAGGTATTAGACTAGAAGGTTTATTTGGCTATTAGATTGTTAGATTGTCGAACTTATTGTTAGGATATTGTAGTGTTAGACGTTAGACAATTAGTGGTATTTAGCGGTTACATTTTAAAGTTCATTTTCATCTTTGAGAGAATCACGTTTAGTGCCTTGTAAATAATCCAGTTTTTTCACTTGAAATAGTTATCACGTTGTGTTCTTTGTTTAGGCCAAAAGTAAGTTTCTTGCCTAGAGCTTATGACCAGGAGGCGGTGGTTCATGGGCCAATCTGGTTGATCCTCTGGATTAACTGGAGTATATCATTTCTGGAATCCTTTGGTGTCAGTTTGCTGGAACACCGCTTACCTATAGCATTGCTCTTGTTGGCGCATCATTTCGGGCAGGGAACAGATTTGATGAACCAATATACAATTCAACATGGGTAAGCATAATCCCATAAAACCAAAACGGCAACTTTTGAAATCTGATTATATACCTATGGCCAATTACGTCTATTCTTCTTGAAGTTGCTTCACATTATGGAATAACCTCGGTAAAGGAATAGTTCAGGTTGCAGGAGGTTTTACAATGACCATTGTAAAACCTCATACGAGGTACGAAGTTTTACAATGGTAAAACCTCATACCCTGAGATTTTTCACACAGCAAAATGTTTGTATAGGTTGTGTCAAAACTGTCATTAAATAAATCTGTGACAGGCGAGTGATTAAATATTACATGTTATAGACAGGACTAAATGAAACATTTTGCTGTGCAAGTCTATGCAGACGTACCAATGGTAATAAAACACCTAACAAACTGTTTTACACCTTTACAAACACCTTTACAACCCTGTTGTACGGAAATGTTTCTCTGCAGTGGGTTTGGTAGCAAATTCCGATGCAGTCAACTTCTCAGTTTTTTGTGGTGGTGGTGGTACAGTTTAGGGGGATCTCTTGACCTGAAGAAAAGATATTTGCCATCTGTGTAAAGTAATACAAAACTGACGATTTATTCCTGTAAAACACATCGTACGTACTACTTACTGTAAACAAAACTTTAATGGTATTTGAAAAAAAATCTAAATTTAAAAATTCATTAAACTTTACCAGTGTGTTTCACAAATAAGTTGTTCCTCAACATTTGCCTGAAACAACCTTGTCGCTGCAGTTGCTCTAAGAGAATGGTTTGTCTTACGACCTTCTATGCCTCCCTGACTGCATATTCTTTTCACAGTGTTCTGCAAAGTATTATGTCAGTTCTGCAAAGTATTATGTCAGACAGGAACATCCAGGTACCACACTGTATCATCCTTCGGCCTCTTCACCGGCGTGAAATAGAACGCATACTTTTGGAAGGGAGACTATTTTACAAAAATATACATTAATTGTATTCCTAAGTGTATCATATATTCATGTATTCATATTTACACTTATATTTGTATTCATTTATTTACTCGTTATTATTATGTTTTACAGATTAAAGATAGTATGCAACAGAGAGGGTTCGGGTGATCCTGGCACAGTCAGGCTGGTAAGGCTCATCATCAGCTCAGGGCCCTTGCCCCTCTACACGCAGCCCAGACAGCGAATGGGACTTCTCCCAGGAAACGCTGCCTACTCGAACCCACCAAGAACTTTCCAGAGAATATGAAGGCTTCCCAACACTGCAGCCTTCTGCATTACCCAGAGTGTCAGAAGGGCTGTACTCCCTGTGGAGAACCCGGGCACTCAGGGCAAGCAAGGGCACCGAGAACAATGGGGAGCCTGGCGACAGTGTACTTGGGATGCAAGCGAGACATTTCAAAGGCGAGGTCCGCCTATTTATCATGCTTTTCCTGAATCTTGCCAATCACATTGGTGTCAAAAGGGACAGAAAATTCAATGATATAAATAAATTCATTGGCTTTATCAAAAGGACAAGATCAGGTTTGTTGGCTGGAATTCTTCTGAGGCTGTATATGGGCCTATTCCACAGAAGTTTGAAAGCATCATTTTCCATGACGCCTTGGACATGTTCAGGGTCGTTCCATGGATGGACCTCGGAATCAAAGCCACAGGCATGTCGGAGACGGTAGTAAAAGCAATGAGCCATGCCTTCATGTCGTTTAAGATATGATGTTTGTGCCAAGGAAGGGCATCCACTGACAAGGTGTTGGACAGTCTCCGTGAATTCATTGCAAAGTCTACATTTCATATTGATATTTTCTTTAAGAATCACATTTTAGGCAATTGCGAGTGGGAAGTGACTGGTCCTGAGCAGCAACAAGGAAGCCCTCAGTTTCACATTTAAGACCAGCCGACTTCATCCAGGCGAAGGAGTCGGTGGGATTGCTATTCTGTTCAACACACTGCATGTACACGCGATGCAATGGCTTCTCAGAAGCTTCTCCACAAAAGACCGACTCTGGGCAGACTTGGTGAAGGACTTCACCTGTTTGCTCCAATCACTGTACCGTCCAACAGTACATCGCCATCAACAAACTCAACCTCAAATCTCAGATTCTGTCCAACAACCTTGGCACGCTGAAAATAGCTGTGGAATTCCTTGCTTTCATCATGAGTCTTCGCATGCATCACTAGAGGATCATCCGATAAATAAATATGTACAAAAAGTACACAATTCAATTCTATGATGAAGAGCCTCCACATTAATCAAACCCCGACCTCCAGAATTGATTGTCATGTATAAACGGTTAAGAGAGGAACGAGGGTGGTGGGCTCTGTTATCAGACATGATCCTTCTGGTCAGACGGTCAAGACTCTGGATGTCTTGTTTTGTCCAATCACCTGCTCCAAAGGAATAGGAAAGGACTGGCACAGCAAAAGTATTGGTGGCTTTGACCTTGTTTCGGGCATTTAGCTCTGAGCTCCAGATGTTCTTTAAACGAGATTTGTACTCTGCCCGAAGTTTGTCTTGAATATGGGCATTCTGGAGCTTGTCTCGAACTTGCATTCCAAGATAGGTGCAGGCCTGATCTTCCACAAGATGCTCAATAACTCCTCCCCTTGTAACTTGACCGAGCCATCATTAGTTACCTTGCTTCGTTTCAAATGAAGAATATTACATTTGTCGAGTCCAAATGTCATGCCAATATCATTAGAAAAGGACTCGACAAGGAGAACCTGCTCTTTCAAATTGGAATCTCCTTTGGCAAGGAGCTCGATGTCATTCATGTAAGATGGAGATGAGTAAGAGTTGTTGCGGATCTGTGCTGAGGAGGTCTGGGATGGTAACCTCCTCTTTATTGAGCAGAAAGTTCAAAGGATTTAAAGACAGACAAAAAGCAAAGGACTAAAGGAATCCCCTGAAATATTCCCCTTCTGATTGGAATAGATTCCGAAGTCTGCACCTGCCCTTGCGAGTACATCTCAAGTTGAGTCGACCAGCAACTCATTAAGAGATGTTCATTGTGTGTCTTATTCTGGTTAGGAGATAGATATTGTTAGATATTTGTGTAAAGTGTACTGTGCAATTAAACGTACATCAAGGGTGGAATGTCTCACAGCTCTCAATATTGACCTCTCATTGGCTGGACTATTATGTTCAAGAAATATCGTTCGCCATGAAGTTCAAAATGAATTCTTGCGTACATTGAAACGTTTGACAGCTTTGCAAGTATGAGACTTTAGAAACTTAGCAAACCTTTATTATATTACAACGTCAATCAATCAACGTTCTGTAGTTACGCAGTCGAGGGATCCATGTGTTCAACTCGTTGGTGACCGAAGTACCGAAGGCATTTGTTGTGATTATAATGAACAATTTCTATGCTAACAGAAGCTGGGATTTGGTTTTAAATGGTGGACTGTTTAATACAAAACTGTTAACACTAACTTTGCTTTATGTTTTACAAAGTCAAAACAAGCGCGAGTTGTCCCATCCTTTGAGTTGTTTGTCATTGTTTGACATATAATACACATCCTTTTCATCCACCTTAGAATTTGCCCCGTAAAGGATCCGTGCTAGGATTGATCTTCAGTAAGAGGTGACTAACGGGATCGGGCTGTCAGGCTCGCTGACTTGGTTGACACGTCATCGTATCTCAATGGCGTAGATCGATGCTCATTCTCTGGATTGTCTGGAACAGACTCGAATACTAAGTATTTACATACCGCCGCCATATATCTGGAGTCTTGTTGAGTGCGACTTAAAACTACATTCACTCATTCACGTAAAGCCATAAAATTCATTTCTTTCTTGTCTCTGCAGGTGGTCCGAACAACAGAAAGTCGGAACCGTTTACACGGATTGTGTATGGTTCTGATATCTACAAAGGGGTATGTCTTTAAGCAATGGGGCATAATGAGTCATTAGGCGACAATATATCCCAATCTTCCAAAACCTTTCTACAGAATCGCTTCCATCACATATCTCTCGATATCTAGAATATTGCTGGTTTCATTCCAGGAATCACGAAGCGATCTGGAGGGCACCTATTGACAGTTCCAACATTTGGAATATTGTTGTTAATGATGCTGCTACCAACATGGGTGTGGATGAAGGCAGACAGCTTTTGATTTTACTGGTATTCACAAAGGCATGGGTTATCTTGGAAAGTTTCACTTAAAAGTGTAATCATCTTGAAAAGTTCATTGAAAAGACCTGGTTTAAGAGCCTGGCAGTATTCCAAGCACGTCAGCTGATATGTGTAGTCAAAATGTAACGATGTAGAATGCACTGACTCTGTACTTCCTTACAGGTAAATAGCCGAGATTCCATTCATGTTGCAACCCAAAGCAACAACTGAGAGCCAGAACTCATAGCCGTTGGGAATGATATTGTCGGGCTGATCTCAAAGTTGGCTTCCTTGGGGCGGAGGTGTAGGTGTATCTGGCTCCTCCCCAAGCATGCCCCAGTCGTTGCTAGCCCCGGCCACGGGATCTGCAAATAATAATCATAATTGTAAGAAATTTGGGTGCTTGTAGAACTCCGCACTCGGCCTTTTCAGTCATGCAAATAATCGAGTCGGGACCAGGCAATACAGCAGCTCATCGTGAACATCGATCTAAGCAATTGGGACACTATGACGTGTGTCAACCAAAGTCAGGGTCCGACTACCCGATCCATTTTTAGTCGCCTTTTACGACAAGCATGGGTTACTGAAGATGAATTCTTAAGCCCGGATCATCACGGGTCGCCTTTTTAAGACAAGCATGGGTTACTGAAGGTTAATTCTAACCCTGATCTGCACGGGTCGCCTCTTACGACAAGAATGGATTACCTAAGACCAATTCTAACCCTGATCTGCACGGGTGGCCTTTTCCGACAAGCATGGGTTACCGAAGACCAATTCTAACCCTGATCTGCACGGGTTAATAATAATAGTAGTAACAATATTAGATGTAATAAAATCGAAAATGATATAACAAAATATATTTTAGACAATAAAGTGAAATTTGTAGTGTATATAAAAACCCACGATGAGTGCGTGAGTGAGTTAAAATTTGTAGTAGGAATATTGCTGACAGCAGACTAGAAACCAAGCAAACCTACACGAACGAATAGACTTCTTAAATAGAAATTACGTTACTGTGGTCTGTGACACCTCTATTATGTGTGTAGAAATTTAAAACTTCTCGCCTACAAAATATCAGCAAAAACGCCACTGTCCTCCTGAGAGGGTACGTAAGTCCCAAAACTTTCAAAGTTAATGTTTTGCTTACCCGATTGTTAAACGTAGTATATTTGTTCATTTAAATTTCAGCTAAACTTGTCCTACAATCGCCAGCGGCTGAAGGGATGGTGTAAATCCAACTAGGGTCCATGCAGGTAGCAAAGGCACTGTAAGTCCCCATGGTCCCTAGTATGGTGATCTACCTTCAGTTGCTGGCGATCTATAGCCCATTTTCACATTGTATTGTCCAGAAATAATTTTCTACTTTTAAAGATATATGCTAGCTAGTTTTAATTCATTTTGTGATAATCTAGTGGTTTTACAGTTCTTCGTTGACAGGGTTTTATATATTATATGTATGTATTATAAAACTAGAACTAGTTTTAGTCACGATATGGCTGAAATGTTGCCGATGTGACTTTAAATCTGAACGAACTCACTCACTCACTCAAAAACGCCAGTTCAGCTACGAAGCTGCGCCAAAAGGACTTTATCTACGCATGATTGTCAGTCGGTACGTAAACGTGACTGGTCGAGGCCATTATTAACCACACGCCATCACATTAGTATCTATGGTTAGGTTGTTGTTTAACTCCGCACTCAGCAATATTCCAGCTATATTGCGGCCGTATTTAAATAATCGAGTCTCGACCAGTTATCAACGACATGAGCACCAATCGGGATACGATGACACGTGTCAGCCATCCAGTTAGTCGCCTCCTACGCCTTTAAGACCAATTCTAAATCGGATCTGCACGGTAATGTCGTTGTGTACGCACACAGAGTGGTTGGTCCATGTCCCCAGATGTAGTCTGTGTTGAAGGGGAGCTTCAGGGCCTTCGTCATCTCAGCTGCAGCCGATTCCTGAAATATTGATCCGTTTTTCAAACACTGTAAGCTACGGTTATAATGAACGCAAAGGGACCACTAGATTATGTTGATGTTTTAGGTTAAATCTCTATTGATATTGAACAACCATATGCATAAGGTATGACTTCAACGAAGTACGAGTAGAAGAGAGAATTGCAAGCTCGGAATTGGTATTGTTCGAACGTTAATCCATATGGAAGCTGAATTTATACAACTTACAACTTCAACGTAATTTTTGGTTTCACATAGTCCTACGGATATTGTGTAACGTACAAGAAAGTTGCAAGTAAGGAATTATTATTGTTTTAAGGTTAAATCTAAATTTAAGTCAAAACTTGAATTTATGTTCTACAACTTACGACTTCAGCAAAGTTGTCTGGTTTAACGTAGTCGTACGAGTACGGCGTAAGTACAAGCTGAGAGTAGGAGTGAACTGCGAGGTAGGCGTGCAGTCGTTGACCCCCGGCGTTGATCTCCGCTACTTTGTTTCTGATGCCCTGGGCCTCCGCCTCAGAGAACACGGACGGACCGCAGTAGACGTCGCTGTTGCAGTTGTTGCTGACGCCCGCGGCTATAGAAATAAAACGCTACATGTATGTGACTTGTGCTTATTGTAGATATAGGCACTTGTAAATAATTAACCCTGTTAAGCAAAAAACTGGGTGAGGTTAGTTTTACGCTATTTTTAGCAACTTTCAAGCAATGTCACGGCGGGGACACAAGAAATGGACTTCACACATTGTACCCATGTAGGGAATCAAACCCGGGTAATTGGCAAATAGTGCTGAGCAGTCCGGGTTCTATGCCTTTTAATACAACCTTTCCAGGTCAAATGGGACTAACAAAGAACAAGTACAGCCACTTCCGCTAAAAGTCAAGGGAGTTAATATTTTTTTAATAAAAGAACAAATATAAGCCTTACTGATGAGCACGTAAAATATCTGCTGAATACTCATAACTGCAGTTTACACTTTTACAATTAGTTTAATGTTGGCGGAAATTCAACAGTTTCATGTGAATCCGAACATCATAATATATATAGTGCTGGCAATGCTATGATCTACCTCATGCTGTTTCGAGACTATGTACAAAGACCAGCGGATACTGTCACAGTTGAGGGAAGGAACTCTGCATATGACACTGCCAATTGTATCGTGGTGTCATCATAGCCCCATCAGACAAAGCTCATACTTGCATGCAATGGAATATTGTGTCTGAAAGAGAGGCACTTACTTCCCAGAAAGCCTCGAAGTTCCTGTTTAGGTCAACACCACGGCAACCGTTGCGAGGGATGGAACAATTCTTCCTCCATAGTCTGTTCTATTGTAGGAATACAATGATCTTTTAGCTTCAAGAGATCAAGACAAGATTTAAGAGAGAGAGAGAGAGAGAGAGAGAGAGAGCTTGTGTGTGTGTGTGTGTGTGTGCAAGGAGAGAGAGAGAGAGAGAGAGAGAGAGAGAGAGAGAGAGAGAGGAGGAGAGTAGAGAGAGAGAGAGAGAGAGAGAGAGAGAGAGAGAGAGAGAGAGAGAGAGAGAGATGTTTTAAGAGAGAGCAAGAGAGAGCTCTTGAGAGAGAGAGATGAGAGATTACATATAAATTCTGGAATCGAACCTACCGCAGTGATAGTGTGACAAAGGTAACGATTTACAATTGTAATTAAAATCTCCTGCGAGGAACAACCCGGCTTCACATGGTTTCAATGACTTACTGAAGGAAACGATTTATGAATGTAGTCCAAAACTCTAGGAGTAATCCAGTTTCCTGACTTACTGAAGGAAATGATTTTGACTATTGCGTGGGAAACAGTATTGCGACAGTGATAGCCCTATTGCAACATACCATTGAGACCAATATTGCTATATAGATGATGTGACTGGTAACGATTTATAAAATGTAGTTCAAAACACAAGGAGAAATGATCAGGCTTCGTTTGGTTTTACTGACGTACTGACACTTGGTTTTACTGACTTAACACTTCGCGGATCTAGGAGGGAACAATTAGGTTTTACTGACTTACACTTCTCGGACATTACGCGAGAGAGAGAGAGAGAGAGAGAGAGAAAGATTCTGGAATCAGACCTACCGCAGTGATTTGACTAAAGGTAACGATTTACAATTGTAATTAAAATCTCTGATCTAGAGGAGGAACAACTGACGGCCGGCTTTCACATGGTTTCAATGACTTACTGAAGGCAACGATTTATGAATGTAGTCCCAAACTAGGGGTAATCCAGTTTCCCTTGATTTTCTGACTTACTGAAGGAAATGATTTGTTTTACATGGGTGACTATTGCGTGAAACAAGTATTACGACAGGCGATAGCCTATTGCAACATACTATTGCGACCAACTATTGCTATATACATGGTGTTACTGACTTGCTGAAGGCAACGATTTACACTTGCACTTCGCGGATCTAGGAGGAAACAATTAGGTTTCACATGGTTTTACTGACTTACTAAAGGCAACGATTTACAATTGCACTTCAAGAGTCTAGGAGGAACAATTAGGTGTCACATGGACTTTACTGACTTACTGAAGGCAACGATTTACATTTGCACTTTGCGGATCTAGGAGGAACAATTAGGTTTCACATGGTGTTACTGACTTACTGAAGGCAACGATTTACATTTGCACTGCACGGATCTAGGAGGAACAATTAGGTATCACATGGTTTCAATGATTTACTAAAGGCAACGATTCTAGGAGGAACAATTAGGTTTTGGCACTTCTCGAATCTATGAGGAACAGTCAGGTTTCATATGGTTTTACTTACTTACTGAAGGCAACGATTTACACTTGCACTTCACGAACCTAGGAGAAACAGATCGGGTTTCACGTGGTTTTACTGACTTACTGAAGTTTGGCTGTACTGATAGACATCCGGGTTGGCCACGGGTACATCGTACGTGTCCAGGAGGAACAGTTAGGTTTTGGCATCAGCGTCCACACTGTACCGACTGACCAACTGCAAATATAAAGGGTACATACAGTACCTGATCTCGACTACCAGATATCCGACTTCCATTTATGTAGAAGCTGCAGTGGTTGAGTGGGTTACATCGGTGACTTTAGTGAGCAGGCGATGAGTTGCTCGGGACTCAATCCCCAAAAGGACTTCTGGCAAACAAGGATAAGTTGAGCACCGACCTGACAATTGACCCGTATTAGCATGTATGAGTGCCGCCAACTGGCGCATGCCATTGTTAGCGAAGGGACCCAAGTAGTGCAACTTGCTTCACGGACGTGAGAGTCTTATGAGCAAGGCGTGTGCAGCTACGCGCGGAATCAATTTCATCGTCATGCAATGCACGTGCACTAGCTTACATCTGCTCTACCTTTCACAAACCAAATAGGTTTGCTCATTTCGCAGTACTGCCTACCTGTAAACGCGTTCTCTGCGCCGGTCCAACTTATCCTTGTTTACCAGTAGAATATGTACTTTACTGAGAAGGTGTAATCCCAAATATAACATATGTTACATTGGTTTTCTCTTTCTAAATGGCATTGTGTATTTATAGCTTTCGGTCGTAGGAACCGTGCCAATTTTACACTCTTCAAGTTAATATTCAGGTCATAGTTGGGCGGTCTGTAAATAAGAGTCTGGACGAGACATTCCATTGATTGAAATTATAAACACCGATCTACGCAATTGGGGTACGATGACATCTGTCAACCAATCAGATTAGTCTGTTAAAAACATCGAGACTAGACCAGACGATCCAGTGATTGACAGCATGAACATCGATCTACGCTATTGGGATACGATGACATGTGTCAACCAAGTCAGCGAGCCTGGCCACCCGATCCCGTTAGTCGCCTCTTACGACAAGCATGCATAGCTGGAGATCCATTCTTTGAAAGTAACAACCATTCGTACTCGTTTACTCCATGCACGCACCAAACCAATAACACTGGGAAGGAATACGGTACTTTTGCATTACGAACATAATATGTATATGCTTTGAGCATACGTAATTGATGGCTTTACATAGTGATATATTTTTGACACGAAATGGTCGCCTATAATGCTCTCACCAACTTCGTTACGTCAATTTCAATGCCCTCAATACGTGAGTGAGTTTAGTTTTACGCCGCAATCAGCATTATTCACAGCTATATGGCGGTGGACTGGTACAAATCGAGTCTGCACCAGACAAGCAAGGGATCAACATCATAAGCATCTTTCTACGCAACTGGGATACGATGAAATGTGTCATCCAAGTCAGCGAGCCTGACCACCCGATCCGTTAGTCGCGCCTTACGACAAGCATTGGTTACTGAAGGCTCATTCTAACCCGGACCTTCACGGGTTCAGACTAAAGACAAAAGAGAAGATGACCTGTAATAACCTGTATAAAGTACCCAAAATGAGTAATACTATTGAATACTATTGAAACTCTTGAATCCCAAAACTTTTTGTTTTAAAAGCCAGAAAACAAACTAAAACGTTTGGTTCCTAAAAGGCGATGACAGGCGTAACATTTTACCAAATTTCAAATTTTTAATCAAAGTCAATTATTTTGCTCTTGCCATTTTGATACGCAAAATTTGATTTCTAAAGCATATACAACAACATGTGCAGGCTTTGTACTTACTATAGAAAAAGCGGTCCTTGGCTGTTGTCATGTGTATATAATACTTACCCTGTCCATGAAGTACATGAGACTGCCACCAACAATCCACTCTCTAGCGTGGATCAATCCTCGATGAAAATCACTGGCTTATCTCCCCTGTTCCGAGCTTAAAGATAAACAAGAATAACTAAAACACCGTTTCAATCCTTACGTGGCACAAATCAAAGTGATAAACCAGCTAAGAAACTTTATATGCAGATCTTACCTTTGTTCTGAGATGTTTACGGATTTGATCAAGATTACCAGTTAAGAAAGAAATGAGATGTTAGTATATATACGGGCAAGCTTAAAACTGGCACAGAGAAAAAATAACACAAATGTTTTATACTGCATAAAAAAACGGCTTCTTTTGAAATGACACATGCACAGGACTTGGACGTACTTGTTAAGACCTAGGTTTAGATTGGGAACAAACCAAAGAACTCACTCACTCACTGATCCTAATGCAACAGAATGTTACGATAATTTGAAAAATCATGCGCTAATAAGTCATCTTCTATAGCGAACAGTCTCCAAACACCAAGTGATTGCTCGCGGCGCTTAATCAGAATCTGATTATTATTACCCCGGATAACCCAAGCTGCATGTTAGGCGCTAGAAGGTTATAGTCATATGACTTTATCCAACGGGTACCCATTTCCTGCTGTGTGAACAGAGGCATTTTTGAACAAACTCACTTGCCTTTGGTGAGACAACATGTATCACATGTGCTTCGTTGTGGGACAGGACTGAAGCCCTAGAAACTCTCAGGAGTCAAGCTGTCAAACACGGTCACCCATCCAAGGACTCTCCGTGCCCAGCGTTGCTTAACTTCACCTGATTTGTGACCTGAGCTCTGTGCACAGGACCACGTGCCACCACTGTTTTCATCCTAACGACCAAATCCTTCATCACGATTTTATATTGTGTTGTCCTCTATAGTAAAAATGTTTTAGATTTAATTGCTAGTTTTACATTTATATCTGTGATGTTCTAGTTGTTTTACTGTCCTTTGTTGACAGAATTTTATAATCTATCATTACTTATTGTTAATCTATAACTTGTTTTAGTCACGATATGGCTGAAATATTGCCAAAGTGACTGTAAATTTTAACTCACTCACTCACTCCTTCACCACGAAAGTATCTTCCTGTTACGCACTAAATCCGTTAACAATTTTGCCTGGTGTGGTAATGGTTGCCTTCTTAGACAGAAACGCAATGCCCTCTAAAATCTAGGTCTGTCAGACTTACTCTGATATAGCTGATTGTCCTCCCTTCGTAAGTCTGCGTGTCGAGGACCCCAACCTCCTTCACCAGAGACGGAAACGTGCTTTTCATTCCAGTCAGAATAGATACAAACTGAAAGCAATACACGCTTAGTGTTACGTTTTTAAATAGACAAAAGGGGTGGTAGGGTAGCCTTGTGGTTACAGCGTTGGCTAGGGTTCGATTCCCCACATTGATACAATGTGTGAAGCCCATTTCTGGTGTCCATCGCCGTGACATTGCTGGAATATTGCTAAAATCGGCGTAAAACCATACTCACTCACTCACTTTCATAGAAAAATCTGAATGTTATGACAAGAATATTCAGAATTTCCGTTATATGCTAAGTCACAATCCATAGCAATTCTTGTATATCCAGATTTTGACATTCCAATATTGATGGCAATATACAACACGGGCTAGGACAATGTTATTGAAAATTTATAACATGAACTGTGGGGATATTGTTTTGACCTTAACACTCTGGGTATAATCCTTAATTAAAACATTCGTCACGCCGAGGGGTAGCCTAGTGGTTAATGCGTTCACTCGTCTGAAGGCCCGGGTTCGATTCCCCAGGTGAGTACAATATGTAAATGCCATTTCTGGCGTGCTCCGACATGTTATTGCTGGAATATTTTAAAGCGGCGTAAAAAATAACTCACTCACTCATGATAGGAGAATAACAGTCTGTTCTCGAAATCGATATTTTCCCCTAAAATGACATCTTCTCGTTCAATACATAAGGTCTAGTATACCGTTCCATATATTTACAAAAGACGATTAACCCGTGAAGGTCCGGGTTAGAACTGATCTTCAGTAACCCATGCTTGTAAGAAACGACTAACGGGATCGGGTGGTCAGACTCGCTAACTTAGTTGACACATGCCATCATATCCCAATTGCGTGGATCGATGTTCATGCTGTTGATCACTGGATTGTCTGGTCCAGACTCGCTTTTACAGACCGCAGCAAATAGCTGGAATATTGCTGAGTGCGGCGTAAAAAAAACCTCATTCAATCCTACAATGACATCTTCTTGTTCAATGTATAATGATCAGTATACTGTTCTATATATTTACATAACACGATTAAAATAATTGTATGGGAACCGATATCTACCTCTTGGTAGCGTTTGTAGGCTGTG